ATCCTCCAGGCAACAGGCCCGGAGGCCGGCGGCTGGGCTTGGGAGAGCTGGGGCCCGGGGTCTGCAGGTGGGCCCAATCCGGGACAGCAGCAGCAGCATCCGTGTGCGGGCCCACGGCTGCCACTGGGGCGAGAGGACAGCCACATCCGTGCAGAACTCCCTGGCCTTGCACCCACTGCCAGAGACGGTCTCAGCTCACTGAATGGATATGTGCATAAATGAAGCAAGACAAAAGTCATCTATGAGACACACGCTGCTCCTGTTAATACACCCTGGTCCCAAAGGCCCCCACAAGCCCCCGTTTCCCATCACTCCTCTGTCCATGCCAGCCCGGTTCCTCCTCCACTTTCTAGGACCACGGGGGCTGCAGCCAGTGCCAACGCTCTGATCTCTCACTCTTACTCCAGGACCACAACCAGGGAATCCAAAAGTTGGAAGGAACCTTCAGCACCACTGATTCACCCAAAGGTATGAATCCTTACAAAAACAGTCCTGCAAAGTCCTGCCTGTGCCTGAGCATGCTCCTAAGGCTACCCGAGGTGAGGTACTGTATCAGGATACATTACTGAGGAGTGGGTCCCCTTCTGAATTATACGTCCCATGTCCCTGGATATCATAATTTGTACATATCTCGACATGGAGTGAACACAGAATCTACCAGCAGAAAATGGTCAGCATGTTTACTCAATTAACAGGGTGGAGATGTTCTGTACCATATAGTTTCTTAATGTAGGTGAAGTCTCAAGCACATCGCGCTTATCCACCTCACTAACCCATCCATTTCCTGGGAAATTTCAGGACAAAAGCTAGAGAAGGAGACGCAAGTAAAATAGATAGTTCTAAAAATATTTCATTCTCTTTCAGGCTTTTTTATAAAGCTGCCCCCAAAAAAGGCAATAGGAAAAGGCTCTATAAATATATGAAAGGTTCTCCCATTTTCCCTAGGGCAGTCACAAAACGCCAGCTGGACCAAAGAGAGATGAAATTTTTAGGATCCTGCAAAATATTTGTGGTCCTCTTTAGAAGGCTTGGGTCTAAAGACAAACTTTTGTTTGAAAGCTTAAAACTCTGAAGAACAAAACAGTCTTGGAAGCTCTCTGTAAAAAATAACCAGGTTGTTTCCAGAATTGAGAAAACCACCAATGCTCCCAGTATTTAAATTAGTTTAGAATTGGCCCATTTTCCCATCATTTGAGTACTATTTTGATTTCTGCCACCCTGTCGATACACACTGACTTCCCAATTAACAGAAAACAAGCGTTATTTGTGAAAATGGTTGAGAAGTCAAAGATGACAGGAGAAACCACTGCTAGGTATTAACATATTACAAATGTATGATAATCCTTATCCTTAAAGATCACAAATTCTAAAAGAAAACTCAAGAAGTATATATTTAATTTTTTTTTAGCCAAAAGTGTGGGCTAGCAATTCTGAAACTACATTATGAGCATGTTTCTAAGACTGAACAAGTAAAGCTATCGCGAATAATGAGTGGCAGGTTTCCCACAGTTAGAGAACGGAGTTACACATGGGAAATGGGCAAAAACAATGAACCTTGTGGTATGGACATGGAACCAGAGGCATCAGCATGAATTTGTGGTTTTTAAAATACACAAAGAGAGAGAGAAAGATAAATATGTAGAGAGAGACAAATACATGAGAAAGAAACAGAAAGAGCTAGAGACAGAGAAGCAGAGTTAGAGGTATCGAGAGGGGGTAGCCATACATCCCCCCCACACATTTACTTCCTTGCTCTGTTAACTGACAGGGCCTGGAAGCAATGACAAGCCGATGACAATGCCACTTAGTGTCCCCATCTTGGTTTCTAAGTACAATTCTCCACTAAAAGGAAGCAGGGCTCCTTGAGAAAAATGGCTATTTCTAAGACTGGAACAGACACTGGTGGAGCCTGAAATGTCTTACTGGGAAAGAGCAAAGAGGTGCTCAAGAACCAGGGGGCATGTCATAAGGACACAGGAGTCATCCTGAAGGGGTTCCCACAGGCCATATCAGGGACAATTTGAGAAACAAAATAAATGGGCTGAGTAATGAATTATAATCCATAGAAGAAAGAATTATGAGCCCACATTGAAATAAATGAACAGATAAACAAAGAGGAAGTTTAGCTTTTCAGAAGAATTCCAAATATTAAATGTAAAAGGAATGTCAGAATTAGAAAAATCACCAATTTGGTTACCACCAGTGTAATAATGTCAAAGAATGATCTAAGGATGCTAAATAAAACCAGTAGGCAAACGCATGACGAGAAGCATACTTTATATAGTCTCTAAGTATCTCCCCATATCTTTTATTTTACTTTTTTTTAAGTGAAACACTGATTTTTTTTTTTTTACTCCATTGTGTAAAAACTCTTGAAAATATTTAACAGAAGATTTATACAAAAATGCTCATCATGGGGCACCCAGGTGGCTCAGTCGGTTAAGTGTCTGACTCTTGAGTTCAGCTCAGGCCTTGATCTCAGGGTTGTGAGTTCAAGCCTTGCATTGGGCTCTATGCCTACTTTAAAAAACAAAACAAACAAACAAAAAACAACAACAACCAAAAATGCTCAACACAACACTGTTGGAATAGCCAAAGACTGGAAGCAACCCAAGTGCCCATCATCAGGAGAATGGATATATAAACTGGTATATTCTCACAATGGGATGTCATTAAAAGGAAAAACAAAGGAAGCCCAGCTATAAAGCATCAGAATCATCCGTGGTTCTCAAAGCATGGTTTCTCAAGACCACCAGCATTAGCATCACCTGCAGGTTTGTTAACCACCCCAGCTCTCCTCCCCATACCTACTGGATTAGATACTGAGGCGGGGGCGGGGGGGGGGAGGTGAAGCGGCAAGTCGGTTCTGGAAGGCTTCCAGGTGAGTCTGATTGACTCAAGTTAGAGCATCACTGTTATGGCTGAATGTCAGTAACACCTGGGCAAGACAAGCTGGTCTCAGAAGAACACAATATGTTCATTTAATAGTGAAAAACTGGCTAACCGAAGTAACAGCGTTTTTAACCAAAAAACACGGTAAAGCTATAAAGGAAAGCAAGAAATGATTAATACAAGTTACTTTATGGAGGAAAGAGGATAAAGTACGGGGAAGGGCCACACAGACAGCCTCTGAGAATAAGTGTCTTATTTCTTCAAGTAGGCAATGGGTACAAGAATCTCCCCACAGCTTTTAAATGATGGGGGAAGACAGTGACTTTACGATGAAGAACAAGACAATCACCACCTTACCAAGTTATCAAATTTAATTAACGTCAGGGGAGAAATCTTATTATGCCTCCTGATAGGATGCACTGAGGACACCAGAGCACTTGCGTGGTCTTCCTGCTGCAAGTGCGTAACTGGAATCTAATCCTAAGGAAATGTCAGACAGGCTCAAACTGAGGGATGTTGTACAAAACACCTAGCGGTACTCCTCAGAAATGTCAAGGTCATGAAGGACAAGGAAAAACTGAGCAGCTGTTTCAGATTAGAGGTGAGAAAAGAGAAATGGAAATTACATGCAATGTAATTTGGATTGGGTTCTAGACCAGAAAAATATTTTATTATAAAGGACATTAGTAGGAAAAGTGATGAAATTTGAGTATCTGTACATTAGGTAATCATGAAATGTCAATTCTACATTCCTGACTTTGATAATTACAGTGTGGCTGTGCCCTGTTTTTAGTAAATACTTTAAGTATTTGGAGGCAAAGGGCATCATATCATTAACTTTTAAAGAGTTCAGGATAAAAACTGTACATGTCTGTATGTCTGTGTGTGCATGTGTGCATGGAAAGAGAGAGAATGATAAAGCAAATGTAAGATATTAACACTTAGGAAAGCTGGGTGAACAACATATGGAAAATCTTTGTCCTATTTTTGCAACTTTTCCTAAGTCTGAATTATTGCAAAATAACAACTTCAAATGATTTTTTAACTTGCCATTTGTCCACAGAAATGAGGATTATTATACCCAGTTTTCAACAGTAGCTTCCCGCTGACAAACCAAAAGCATTCATTGTAACAACTCACTGTAACAAATAACAATTCATAGCAAACCCCCCACATTGGCAGCTCTAAGAAAAACCACCTATTGTCCATCCTTTCTCTCTTCAAGTGAGAACAAGTAAGCCTCAGAGGTAACAAACAACCTGAACGTGGTAATGTACAGTAGAAAGTACTCTTGGAATTGCAGTTTAGGAAGTTGTGTGACATTACACAAATTATCAAATCCCTCTGGGCCAGTTTCATCATCTGAAAAATGAAGGCATTCTGTCAGATTATCTTTATGGTCTATTCTAATTCTTACATTGCAAGAATCCATACATGAATTTTGTAATAAAAATACTGCTTGCTTTAGAATTTAAAAACCAAAATACAGATACTACTAAAATCAAATCTAGAAGTTCAGGTATAAGAACAGCCTGGACATTATGTTTTCATTAACTACCCTAATTCTATCCTCCACACTAGATCCCAAAATGTAGGGATGGTATTTGAGCCAGGATGATATTTGACCACTCACTTATTTCTTATGGTCTGGAAAATAAAAATTTTCTGTGCTGTTGAATTTCTGTAATTTAACCAGCTTCACCATGAAGCATGACCAAACACCTCGCGATCATCAGACTGCTGGGCACATGAACATGACAATTAATCCCCAAATCTGTGGCAGGCAAATAGCACCTATCGTATCTTTTAAATGTAATACGAGCCATGAAATAATTTGAATGGATTTTTATCTTCCATTCTAGAGAAAATTTACTGGCACACTGAACACAATATCCACATAGGTATAATTAACAGTTACTCAGCTGGCTTTAAGAAATAAAACTAGGAACGTAACTTAATTGTTGTGCCTGAATTGCTAATGCTCTTTTTGTTCTGTTTTGGGTTTTTCTGGTTTAGATATCATTATTAAAACTGAACACTGACATTGCACTTAAGTAATAAAAAAGTACAACACATAAAGCAAATGGCATTTCGTAATGCCTACTCACCTGAGAGCTCTTGCCACATCTGGCATCTCCTGAAACGATCACAATTTGATTCTGAAGCAGATTCTCCATAAAGGAGTATTTCTCTTTCCATATTGGAAGATCTTCCCTCTCTTTTAGAAGTTTGTAATAACGCGATGAATATGGCAATCCATCAAAAGGGTTAAGTTCCAAATCCTCACAAGCCAAAACCCCCTCCTCATCCCCATCACTGGAATCCAGGGATTCGGGGAAGTAGCGTTTCTCAGAGGCAGAGCCTGGGCATCCCAGTCCCTGCTCTTCCATCCTGTCCAAGAGTGAGCTTAAGTATTAAGTAGCTGGCATCCTACGGTCAAGCTGTTCCGACAATAAGCCACTGCAAACAGCGCTGAGAGTCTACGGATACAAACTTGGGCGCCTCAATCGCCAAGACTTCAGCTCAAAGTCTTCGCAAGTTAATTCCTCAGATCCGCATCCGGTCTTCCTTGCTGTGCTGCCTCCGCTCAGCTCACGTAAGCGCTCTTCTGCACATTAAATGACTGTCCATACGCCACCCTACAAACACCAACAAAAGAAGGAAAATCAGGTACACATACGAGATGCTCAAAAGAAAAAGCACAGGCCTTCAAAACAAAAGCGTTAATTGGCTTGCTTCTGCGAGCTGGTTCCTGCCTGTCATTTCTGCTGCCTCTTCGAGAGACCAGGAGTAATTCAGGCTAGCTCTTCAAGTTTGATGAGCTGCAATTTTCTCCTGGCCAGCTTGGGGACAGTTCCACACTGGACCTGGTGCTCTCGGCCTGACCTCTAGCACTGGCGCCGACAGCGAGCCGGGGGTGTGGTGGTTGTGAGTCTCTATCACGCGGTCTCTCACCCCACTACAAAACAGATGCTGGATCCTGTGATGGGGAAAACTGTTGAGGGCCAGGGAGTGTTCCCTTAACCTGGTTACCAGACAGTCTATTTTGTCTTAATTAAGAAATCCTCTAGCTTAAAGGAAGTGTTTTTAAAAACTTCATTTAGATTTGCTTATGCCAGTCTACAATGACAGGTGAGGGAAGTGGCTTTATTTTTTTTCCCCTCGGAGGCTATAGCTCGCTTTTATTAATAAGGTCTTTCGTTTGTTTAATCAAACCAGAAGCCTCAAGCACATTTCTTGAGATTCCAGGGTCTTGATCCCAAAATAGCTAATTCAAGTGACAACAGAAGAAAACATTTATTTATTTTTAAAGATTTCATTTATCTATTTATTTGAGAGAGAGCAAGTTGGGGGGAAGGCGGCAGAGGAGAGGGAGAAGCAGACTCCCGGCTGAGCAGGGAGCCCAACATGAGGCTCAGTCCCAGGACCCCGAGATCATGACCTGAGTCGAAGGCAGATGCTTAACCGACTGAGCCACCCAGGCGCCCGGAAAATATTTATTTTAAATGAAGAAGAGAAATTACCCAAGCAAGGGCCAATTTACACCAGTAACTTATTCTCTACAAGTCAGGTAAGTGATCTTTCAATCCTGATTTTTTAAAATCCAATCAATATTGCTGGGAATAAGCCCCTTTTCACATTAACCAGGTGAAAACTAAAAATACAGAGAAGCTCAAGTAAAAAAGAACAAAGCGTAATCTGTAACTCATGATATTGTCAAATTACTCTTTTTACAGCACCTCATTTATTTAACTATTGCTTTAGATGGTTAGTCGGCTCACAGGGCTAGCTCCTCATCCTACGTAATAAAAAAAAAAAAGGCTCTTCACTGTTCAAGTCAGGCTCCGGGGAAACACACACTCAAGAAACACCTGTTGAGTGCCTCCTCAGGGCTTCAGTTAATAACACATGTTAAGGATACTTTGAGGTCAAGACCAAGACTTTACAAGCTTACACACAAATAGGCCGAAAGAGGGAGAAATTAATAACCAGAGGGACGGGAGAAAGGATGTTTAAGCTCCTCAAAGGTAGGGTTCTTCAAAATTCATTCTGAAAGTTGTTTCAAAATTAGAATGGTGTAATAACACCAATGTAGTATGGGTTAACGTCGCAGCTCTTTGCTGCTCCCATGGGTGAGACCAGATCCACAGAACAGCTCCAAGAAACACGCTGGCTTGAGATCACAGGACAAGATGACTTTAAGAAGTCATCTAAGAATCAGAAAATTCCACTGCTTAAGAGAAGTTAACATTTGGTTTTATATTCAATTTTTCCTTTATTCTGATTAGAATCCCTTCTAGAGGTTCTCATTCTACATGTAAATTAAATTGCTGTTATTATGATTAATGATTGCCATAGGTACTATTTCTGAACTGTTTTACCTAAAAAAACACAGCTATTATTTTTACCAAATAAACACCCTTGAAATGTTTCTCTTAGTTTTATAATACTCCGTAAAGGTGCAATAATCTTTTAAAGTAAAATCTTATTTATAAAGTATCGACCACTTTGAACCATCAGGAAAGAGTCGAGTTTTCCAAACACTCATCTTTCTAGAGATGGAAGCGTCACCTGGCCCCTTCACCACACACACATACACTGTACGGCTCCATCACCAACTTCTCTGTTAGGCTGGATTAAAGATGACCACACATGCTCTGTCACTGCTCCCCTGGAGAGGTGGAGTCTACTTCCTCTTCCCTTTGTCTGGGCTGGCCCTGTGAATCACTATGATCCAAAGAATGCAGTGAAGTGATGCTGAACCACTTCCAAGGCATTCACATGCCTGAAACCCTCCCTCTTGGAGCCAGCTGTCATTCTGTGAGACACCCAGGCCACATGGCGAGGCCACTGGGCAGAGACCAAGGCTGGGCTTCCTCTGGCAGAAAGCACAGACATGCCATGTGGGTTAAGCCACAGAAGATGGTCCCAGCCAGGTCAAGCCTCCAGATGACCACAGGCCCAGCCAACACAACACCCAGCAAAAGCAGCACCCACAACCACCCAGTCAACCCAAAAAACCGTGAGAGGGAACACACGGTCACCGCTTCTGGAAGCTACTACATTCCAGGGTGTTGGTCTTGGCAGCAACAGATAACCAGACCTCTCTGCCTACTAAAACAATCTAAGTTTCTCTTCATGACTCAGGGTCACCATTACATCAGTTCCTAAACAGAATGATGTCCTCAGATTTCCCTGAAGTGTTCAGGGATCAAAGGCCAGACTGGTCTGGAGCCCCGCTTTTCCTCAGGGATTCGATAACCACGTCACACTGTGGTCCGTGTGCTTACCTAGTGGGGCCGTCCTCTGCTTTTCTGACCTGCTCTCCTACTTAGCATGTTAGAAACCAGTTAGGCTTGTTGGACAGATACAATACTTGTAAAGGTTGTGGCCTCAAAGGGCTCTATATTGAATCCAGTGAGTCTGAGGGGCAGCACTATGAAGTTCGCGATGATCTATTTTCACTACTCAGAGGGACTTTCTGTTGCTCGATGGTTTGAGTCCCAGATTTAGAGGGGGCAGTGGCGGAGTTTTCACGATAGACAACACCTCTCCACATTTATTCTGCTACTGGCGTGACCCATGTATTTTCTTAGAGGTCATTAAATACATAAAAGAGATCCATGTTTTGGCCTTTGGCAAATTTAGTAGTACCAGTAAGGGAAAACAAATATGGTAGGTGACATGCCACTCAAAATAAAATTTAATAAGAACTGTTGTGTTAGGAGTATCAGCTACATTCCACTATAAGAATCTGAAAGGTTGGTATTTGCTCCTTTTCAAAGCTTTCTTCCATATAAATTGTAGACTGCATAATTTGTCAAGGACTGCCCTTTGAAGTGAGTCTATTACAACTTTTAAACGAGCACTTATGAAAAATAATACAGATCTAATGTAACATGAAACTACCTCAACAAGAAAGAATCAGAAGTTGATGTAAGATGAGCTATGTCTTAGTCATTGTGATCCTTGGTTCTGGTGCAGTTAATTCTAGAAACACTGTTCACAGAAAAGGTAAAGTTTGCAAGGGATTAAGTAAGACAAGATTGTGAAATTTGTCCTGAGAAACTCTGGATTAGGTTTCGCTGTTCGCTGTTCCTCTTCTGCATTTTTCTCCATGTTCAATTTACCAACAATACATTCTTCACACCTATCAAGTTCTCAAACGTACAACGTGAGGACTTTGCGGAGATCCGATGGGGCCTGTGTGGCCTCCTGCGGCCTCACAGCTTTGATGCCTCCCATATGAAGACTCCCACTTGTGTGTGGTGTCAATCCTCACCCTAAACTTCAGTCTCATGTGTTCTACTACCGACTCATCACGTCCAACTTGGATATATAACAGGCATTTCAAACTTAGAATGCCCTAAACTGAGCTCCTGATATTTACCCTAAAGCCACAAACCTGGTCCTCCCAAGTCAATGACTTCGTTTCAATTGCTCAGACCAAAAAATTTGAAATTATTCTTGATTTCTCTTGATCTCAAATTCCACATCTGATCCTTCAATGGATGTACTAGGCAGAATAACAGCCTACAGAGATGTGCATGTCCTCATCCCCAGAACCCGGGAATGAGTACTCTGAAGGCCAAAAGGGACTGAGGACGTCACCCAGTTAAAGCCCTCCACCTAGGGAGACTATCCTGGTGAGTCCAATCTAATCTTGAGAGCCCTGAAATCAGACAACCTTTCCCAGTTATAGTCAGAGGGCTGCAGTGTTGTTGGCTTTGAAGATGGAGGGAAGGCCATGAGCCAAGGAATGATGTGGGTGGCCTCTAAAAGCTGAAAAGACAAGGAAATGGGTTCTCTCCTAGAGTCTCCAGAAAGGAACACAGCCCTGCCGACCCCTCGATCTTAACCCAGCGAGAACCTTGATGGGACTTCTACCCTACAAAACTGTAAGAGAATAACCACTCGCTTTGCAGTGATTTGTTGCAGGAGCAACAGAAAACAACCTGATCATGTCAGTTCTACTTTCAAAATACGTGGAGCACCACTGGGAGCAGCTGTTCCCCGAGATCACTGTGGCAGCCTCCTGACTGGCCTCCTGGTTTCACTCTTAGCCCTTCTCAACCCAGTTGCAGTGACCCTGTTAAAGTCAGCTCATGTTTCCTCTGCTCGCAAGTCTCTACTGGCTTCCCACCTCATCTTACTCCAAGGAAAACCCCAAACACTTAACAGGATCAACAAGCTTGGAGGCTCTGGACCAGGCAACGGCTCTGGCCTCATTGCCAACCACTCCCTCGCTCCTCACACTTCTAGCCACGTGGCCCCCTGGATGTTCCACAGACACTGGCTCAGGCTGGCCTCGGGACTTCGAGCCTGCTCCTCTGTCTGAAATGTCCTTGCCTCAGGTGTCCCAATGGCTAGCTCCCTCTCCTCGTAACGGTTTTTATCAAATGTCAGCACGGTGAGGGCTTACTGGCCACCCTGTCTACGCTTTGACCCACATGCCCCACAACCCAGACCCGCTTCCTACCCCCTTTTCCTGCTTTGGTCTTTCCCCTTGACGCTCACCACAGGCCAACAAAGTATATATTTTACCTCTTGATCTTGCTTCTGGTTGGTGTCCTCCACCAGAAGGCGAGCACCATGAGGCAGGGATTTGTGTCCCTTTTGCTCACTGCTGTCTACCACAGAGCCTGGCACATACGAAGCATTCAGTAAGTATTTGTTGAGTGAATGATGTTGGCACTTCAGAGATATTTTTACTCAACTTTTCCAGGTTTGCCTAACATTGCGTCAGTGACGACGTCCTTTCAAACTCCTCAGGGTTCAGTTCCTCCCCTTCTCCTAGTCCTTCACTTCATGCCGAGATGCCGGTGATGGCCTACTGTCACTACGCTTCGGGACTTCTGTGATTTTGTGTCCCCTTTCATTAACGATAGGACAGACTCCTGCTATTCCTAAAGGCTCTGGCCTGAACTGGGGGAATTCCCAGATTCCAAAACTGAAATATTTGTATAGGTTCTTGGTTTGTCCTTGAATCAGACACCCAAACCACAGTTCACGCTTTTTTCAATATTAAAGCCGTTTTCTTCTTTCAGAAGAGTCATGGTGCAGAAACCACCAGGGCCGCACTGAGATCTGTCGGAGGCGCGGACCACGCTTGCCCCAGGCCTCCGACCTTCCATAACCGATATGGACAAAGCAACATCCTTACATACCAGGCAACTGCCCAACTATCTGTACTACCTATTATCCTTTCCCTGTGTTTTTGGTCTCTCTGCTTAGACTGTTACTGGAGCGATACCCTCTTTGGTAATTGCCACAGTCTGAGCCCGAATATCGTGGGTGCTTAATTAGCAATTAGAGGCTGAGGAGCTAATGACTGAATCACTTCCTGTTCTTTAGGGATTTTCCACTTTTAAGACTAACATCTGTCTGTTTTATGATAGATATTATTCATGATCTAATAGGTTTTCTCTATCCTCAGGTTTTCTCATCTTCCATGCCTACACTTCTGGTCTTCCATTTACTTACTCAGCCAGGACCTGAGCGCCCACTAAGTGTTCACCTTGCGAACAGGCCTGTGTCACAAAGAGAACAGCCAGGTCTGGGTCCTGTCCTCACGGAGCTTACTATCCGGCGAGGCAGAGCAGGGGTGGGGACGGAGATCGTCTGCGACATGAGGACTTACTCTCATGGTCAAGAAACTAGAAGAAGGAAGATGTGATGTGTGGCTGGTACATAAAAGGAGAGAGAAAGGTTCTGGTACAGATGAGCTCACAGAGCAGACAGGACCAGATCACCAAAGGTATGCTAAAGAAACTGTTTTATTTTAAATGCCATGGGTCTAACTTACCCAGTCATTTCTTGATCAAAATTGTTTTACTCTTTTGGTTCTTTTTACAATTCTCCTCTTAGATTTGATATGTTGTAGTACTTTTTTTTTTTTTTAAAGATTCTATTTATTTGACAGAGAACCACAGCGAGAGAGGGAACACAAGCAGGGGGAGTGGGAGAAGGAGAAGCAGGCTTCCCGCCGAGCAGGGAGCCCGATGCGGGGCTCGATCCCAGAACCCCGGGATCACGACCTGAGCCGAAGGCAGATGCTTAACGACTGAGCCACCCAGGCACCCCTGTTGTAGTACTTTTTAATACTAAGAATTATAATGTTCTTAAAGTCATTAGTGAAACAAGTTCCAGGAGAGCTGGTAACATCTTAAGGCAAATGGCAGGATGAAGCACATAGTAGGGTTATTTATGAGCTGGCTTACTAAGCCCAGCAAAAGATCATTTTCATGTACAAAAATTCTTAAGATTTATAAAAACTAACATTTCTTCAGCATTTTAAATCATTTTCTGATAGGTCTATGAAAATTGCCTGTTCTATGATCTAATTCAGAGCCAATCCCTTTTCATCTCCACTCTTTAGGGAAAGGGTTCTGGGGGAAAAGGAAACACACACACACATATCTTGCCTTTTAAAAAAAATTATTCTTTTTATAGGACTCCCGAATCTGTGTTGACACTATGTGGCCGATGAATTTTTTCTTGAAGAATCAGTGCTAATTTGTATTGAAACTTTATAAATATTTTCGTATCTATTTAAGGTCTCCTTATATTCTGCACAGCAGTAAATTATTTATTATTAAATATTTATATACAGGTTCCAACAGAATCAGTAATCTAAAAACAAAAAAAATAAAACCTAAGGATGAGTCTTCTGTAAATACTAATCTTAAAAAGTTGTACTTTTGTCATTTGTGTCCCCAAACTCACTTATTCCCTATTAAGATTTTTCAACCTCCTAGGAGAAACACGACCCTCCATAAAGTGAAGTCTGATCTCTCTTATGATAGTGTATGTCCTGAAAAGTAAAAAGTATTAATTCTGGCCATTTATGGGAACAGCTTAGCAAAAGGAGACATCTGTCTACGTGGAGCCTTTGGAACCACACTATAGGACTAATGCAAACACTCGCTACATGTACGCAACACATTTATTCAGATTTTCACTTTGTCCTCTTGCTCTAGGTTCACCACACACGTCTTAGAGTCAAGATCCATTTCTGAGCCATCTCTACAACTTCTACAGAATAAGATATAGGGTTCTGCACAGACCATGTGATCAATAAATATTTGCTCAACTAATAAACAATATCCCTGTAGCCCATAATTATAATGTTTAGAACAGAGAAGGTTAATGAGGCATTACAAGTGAATAATAACTGTCTGCAGGATAAAGGGCTATTATTTTTTAGAGAACAGGATCACTGATCCAACATTCCATGCCAATTCCATTCAAAATGCTTATTTGTGGCAACATAAAGAGCTTGCACTGAATGTAAATCAACTCATTGCTTCCTTCATTGAAGACGTCTTGCTACTAAAAATGTCAGCTCAAGGCAGCAGTAGGATTAGTGCCACAGTCCACGTTCTGGCACAAGCTCCTTGTCCCACTGCCAACCAGTAACAGTCTGTGGACGGGAACTGGTATGCACATCACGCTGGGAGAAGCATGGTTCTCTGCTGCTGCTAAAGTTGAACTGATAACAATAATGGTAATGATGATAATTCCATCAATTAGCCTTTACAGAGTGTGCTTATTGGGTGCCAGATGCTCTACGTACTTAAACACTTTGTGTGGATTATTTCATTTAAACTCTTAAAGACCCCGTGAGGGTTTACTTTATTATTTCCACTTTTCAAATGAGGAAATTTAAGCCTTCGGAGGTTTAGTTAATTTATCCAGCTTCTAACAGCTCATCTGTGGGAGAGCAGGTGCTTGAAGTCAAGCAGCCTGATCTCAGCTTAACCCCAGTTAAGCATACAGTGTACGCCTAACCACACTGTGCCATACCACTTCCTGGCTGCATCAAAGAACATGGGCTCACGATGAAACACCGTGGGCTGAAGGAATCCTTGATGCTATGGGACATGTCAGGCAGGGGTGGTCTGGAAGAAATACCATAAAACAGAACAAGTGTAGCTCTCGTATGAAAAGAAAGACATTTGAGAATTTCTGAAAAACATGGCTGTAATCACCCACGTGGCCTTACAGCCAAATATTTAATAGGTAAACTTTATCTCCCAGGCATGTGATACTCTAACTGAAACAATGGGCTTATCATTACTAGGACTTTTAGAAGGTTACCCCGTAGTTTGCTTTTAATTGGCTCAGAGCTCCCCAAAGCACATCCTATTTGGTTTCTAGTATCTACTTAAAATCTTTCTTGAACAAGATAAAAGTTCAGCATTTATTTAAAAAAAAATCTTATCTCCAGCCTTTTAACAAGTGGACTTTTGATTTTAAGTAAGCAAATTGCATCAGTTGGCTTTTTCAAAACACTCAAATTAAAAAAATGATTTACTTTTAACTCAATATCGGTTCATACCAAATACATCTGGAATAACCAATCTTGCACAATTAATTTAAGAATCCTACATTCCACTGGTAATTTAAATTTTTGTAGACTTATATACAGGAAGATCTCCCAAGCTCAATCAATACTTACATATCATAATAACCTATCACTCCTCACATATACATTTGTAAATCAAGGGTTTTATTAGACTTTCGAATGACTGGGCCATTCAGTGCTCTTCAATATTGTTTTGTTCTGTTTTACTGAAGAATATTCTAAAAACTAGTATTTGAGTAAGAGCAAAGTTAAAAAAGTTTGCTAAAATATTACCTTGGCAAATTGCTGAGATCCAGCAAAAGCTGAAATTCAAAGAAAAGGTTATTGTCAGTCTTCCTAGGAAGATAATATAGTTATTTCACCTCCAACATTTATAAAGTGAACTTTTCGCCCACTTTTTTGTAAAGACAGCATTTGTATGAGGCATCATCATAACTCCCGAAGCTACATTTTACTTGAATTATTGTTCCAAATGGAGATGGTGAAAAACCACAAATATCAGGATATTTTCTTTCTTGTTAAGAAAGTCACAGGTAGTCATTTTGCAGTAACTTTAATAAAACAATAACAGATTGATAAAGTATGTTGTGCATTCTATGGCAAATGGGAGAAAATATAATTTCAGGGAATGCCAATGCACGAGCCCCTCAAGAGCAGGGATTCTGCTTCATTCATCTTTCCAGATTTTGAGCTGACCTTTTTGGCCAGTCCTCCTCAGTCTCCTTGGGTTCTTCCATCACACCCACCTCCTCATGTCAAATAGCTGTGCACCCCACGGTCCTAGCCTTGACTCTCTTCTCATTCTATATAATCTCCCTGGAGAAAACCATTCACATTTTAACTTCAATTTCTGAAAGACTCAGGCTTCTTTCTTTAGTTCCTGACCCACATGTCTGACTCCTACTTAAGGGAAATCTCAATTTAGATGACAGGCATTTCAAATGAACTGAACTCATCATGGATGCATTTCTCACACTCCCTAAAAAGAAAAAGACTTCTTTCCTTCTCTTGTGTTCTGGATTTCGATAACAGAACAATTCCCCAACACCTGGGCGGTCATCTTGGCTTTTCCCTCTTCTTCACCCCCTACACCACCAAGACCTGCCACTTGGACCCTCTCAGAGGCCCCTACCCCCTGTTCCCCGCCCTCCCAACCACCACACTTATTTTATCATTTCTTCATGGAATTACTACAAAATCTCCAGCTTGGTTTTTCTGCCTCCAGTTTTGGCTCTCCACCAATCCGTCATTCACAGGCTGCCAGCGACCCCTTTCAAATGGAGAACCGATCACGTCACTGACCCAAATCCTTCTCATTACCTTCAAGATACAAATCTCACTCCTTTGATTCTTTCTGATTTAATGCGTATCTGCCTCCCAGCTTCACTTCCTTCTATGCTCTTCTATTAAGTTCCCTCTGCTCCAGCCACAATGGACTCCTTCTTAGAGTTGTTCTCTCGTGCTTCTGTGCCTTTGCCCGGGAAGCCCTCACACACAATCCATCTGGTCATTTCCTATTCCCTTATGAAGAGCAACCCCCAAGAAGTACCTGACACATCATGGATGCTCAATATATGTTTGCTGTATGCCTGCAATAACAACCACCTACATTTACTTTACAATATGTAAGATATTTTCACTCCTATCTATAATCACATTTCACTGATTTTGATTTTCACAACTCAACTGTTAGACAATCATTGCAGATCTTGTTATTCCCAGTTACCAATGAGGAATAGCTCCTGACTTTCCAAAGTGGCATAGCTAGAAATTAATGCGATCATCCCTGACTAAAAGCCTGTCCTCTATTATTATCCTATTTAAATTATCAGGTATACACTGAAAACCCACTATGAGCTAAAAGGAGTACTGGACTTAATTCCTAAAATATTTAATCTAATCAGAGGCACAGACCCATGCACATAAAGTGGGAGAAAACTGCAAGAAAGTAGAGTACAGGGCCAGGTGCCAAACTGGGTAGTGGCCCCAGTAGGAGAGAGAGGTGCATTTTGTGGGCATTAACCTAATCCTGGAAGACTTTCCAGATGCGGGGGCAGCAGCACAGTCCTGCAGCCCAATTATACGAAGAATGAGTAAAACGCTGAAAGAGCATTCCTGGAGTCCAACAATTTTGAGCACAGACCATCACAGATCTGGAGGACAAAGAGGAAATGAGGCAAAAATGGAAATTTGTTTTCTACCTTGACTCAACTCCTTGTAAGTTTCAGAAAGTAGCGGAGAAAAAGAGAAAAAAGTACCCTCACTCTGGCAAAACAAAAAGCAAACAAAAATCCAGGAAACAAAAACAAAAACTTCCTCTGACTTCCATAAACACCCTATCAGTAGGACAGTAAGGCTAGGAAACAACACAGTCATTTGCTGGTCTTTCCTTTTTTTTTAAATCATCCTACTTGCATTAAATAACGTTAACTTTCTACCACAATTATTTTTACTCTGAATTCTGATGTGGCTAAGAGATTTAAGTAAGAAAAAGAAAGGCTATGTCTGTCCCTCCATTGCTACCTTATTCCCTGGTGATAGTGCTTTGGTTTGCTACTTTAGTTAAGCACCAGCAAAGTAAATAATGTAATTATTCTATCTAATTTGATGAGCTTGGAGATTTTTTTTTAAATCAGGATTTTATTGTTTTTTACCTGACCATCAGTGACATCCTGAACATGCCAATGAAAAGAAGAAAAAAAAAAAAACACACACACACGGTAGGAAATCCCCAAAAGGAACAACCAATGCGTTTGCCATTCATCTCAACCCCTATCCCATTAGCAACTTCCTGACCTCAGGATAGCTCCTCCAATAAGAAAGCATATCCCTTTGGGGCGCCTGGGTGGCTTAGTTGGTTAAGCGACTGCCTTCATTCAGCTCAGGTCATGATCCTGGAGTCCTGGGATCAAGTCCCACATTGGGCTCCCGGCTCAGCGGGGAGCCTGCCTCTCCCTCTGAGCCTCTCAGCTCTCATGCTGTTTCTCACTCTCTCTCAAATAAAAATAAATAAAATCTTTAAAAAAAAAAAAAGAAAGAAAGAAAGCATATCCCTTTATCTAAAGCACTTTCTCTAACGCTCTTCTCACTCAACAGACAAGTGCAAGTACCCTGTACCAGCTGCTGGAGGGAGAAAGAGAAACTGAATGTTGTCCTTAAACATTTTAGTACCTTTCCCTTCCCCACTTCCACCCCTCAACCAGTCATTTCTTCCATAAACTCACTATCCCCGAAAATCAAATGTTGCTTTTCACAGTTGCCAGTTACCTATTACCTGAAATATTTCAATGCAAGACTTCCTCAATGTCAAGTTCACGGCTACTGATAAAATCATTCTTCTACACTGCTAAGTCTGAAGTACCAACATATACCTCCACTTTTCCAACTTTAAAATATGCATGCAACAACCAAATTCTTGAGTCCTTGTTATTCCAGTGTGGTGATCGACAATATTGTTTTGTTCTTTTTAAATACAAATGCTGAATCCTTTACTGTTTGAGAAAATAAAACCCTACCTCTTTTATGTGTTAATAAAGACCAGGTTTTTATCACTAACTTGTCACTTTATAGTATTACTAATGCACACTATGTTTCTCGGATGAAAAGACAAATTCACGATTTTGCTAATGATAGGAAAACTAGAGTTTGAAAACACTGTTCTATAGAAGTGCTGTTGATCTTAGATGCTGTCTGTCTAAAAATGCATCCCCTGTCTCTAAGTTTCAGGAACAGGTAATTAAGGTGCCATGAAGTGTTTACTTCCCAACCTGAATTTATTACTTCAATATTTTAGCTTATGAAATTACGGGTTCAGGATATATCACACTGCTTGTCAATATCCACACATAAACCTTCTTGCTTTGACAATTAATCTGAAAAAGGCTCTGGACAGTCTGAGAGGGGAAGCCCAGTTGAGTGGAACATAATAAATGTCCGTTTCCATCACAGAATATATGGTTCTCAAGTTCAATTAACCTCTGAACGATTCTCTTTCTAAGAGGAAAGTAATTTTCCTCAGTGTCCTTGTCATCTATGGAGTGGAAATCTCTCTAGTGGCAAAGAATGAGTAATCGCTTACATGACCCAAAAAGGGCTCTTCTCTTCATTTCCCTCAAGTGCTGTCTAGAGCAGCGGGAGGAACAGATAGAGGAGCCATAATCTCCAGACATGAGCACTAAATCAATCATGCAGTGTCCACCCGCCTGCTCCTTCCTTCTGGCTCCTCCATTTTTCTTTCCTCCTTAAGGCTCGTTTTTGTTCATCTAGGACTCTCCCGGTGGTTTGCCTTTTTACAACCTACCAGGCACAATCTCTTGTGATCCTCAAAGCTTCCTTAAAGCACAACCGGCACCTGTATTTCAAAAGCCAGTTACTAGGATACTATTGTGTGGGATAATGTTACATTCGTTTAACAGCCCCACAAAGTTTTGGTACAAAATATGTGTGCTGACTCCACAGCTCCACCGAAAACCGGGAGGATGGAAATAAACAAAACAAACACACGAAACAACCCCCAATCCAACCGGAAAGATCCAACCCAGGCCCACTGCCTGAAACGTGATACTCGGCATGACAGTGCAATGCGGGGCAACGGAATTCTCCTGGGTTCCAGGATTCAGCAGACACATTTGGCCCACTGCCGCCGACGACAGAAGAGGCTCGCATTTGTTGTATGCTTCCCATAAATGCGGCAGGAGTGACCACCCTCCATGGGCCTGGCCGACGCCCCGGCTGCCGAGGGATCGTCCTGCCCGGAGGGCTGGGGCGCAAAGGGTCGCTCCTGCCGCTGACACGCGGACCCGGGAGGTAGTGGCGGGCAGGCGGCCTCCGCCCCGGCCG